AGATGAATTTTGCAAGAAATAATTAATAATTTACAACACATATTGTGCTTCTTTATTGGAAACAATATTTGCAGAAATATTTTATTCATAAGTTAAAATTTTCATAAAGTTTTCGAGTTTACGGGATAAAGATAATTTATTCAGTTTGTAAATTTACACATTTATAAGTAAAAAGACGTCATAGTTAATTATGTTGTTCATAAATATATTATATTTCAATCAATCTTTTCTAATATTTTTAAATAGGTGTTAATAATCAAATATGTACTAAATTTTTCATCCCAGTTTCCATTAGTCGTTATTTATATTCCTTCATTGATAAAGTATCATTCAATTCAATAAATAATTCTCGAAACAGACTGGCAACACTGTTCATATTTTTTTAATTTTAATTTTCCCCACTAGTAGTGTTGCGGTCGCAAAATCGGTACAATAGGATGTGACACGAAAATGGTAAGATTATGTCGACCTTATTACCATGGCCGCGAAAATACATGCAATATCTATTCATATACCTCGTCTGTGCTGATATCATCTGATATCTTTTTTGCGGATAAATTCATAAATCTCGTCTGCAGCGCTGTGATGCAAAACCTGCCTAGATCGATATGGTAGGATGTGACACGAAAATGGTAAGGAGGTCAGTTAACCCTCAAAACGTGAGACACGAAAAAGCATAGATGATAATCTATTCTAAGTAGTCAATGGTCAGATAAATCCTGTCTTTATTCAATAATTATACGAATATACTTGTCAGTAGTAATAATTAGTAATGAAATCTGACCATTTTTGTCACGAATTTTCATCTATCGTCCAATTCACTTGACTTACAACAAATATATGCTTCTCCAACTTTGCTTACAATTAAGGACAGGACAAAATTTAAATGAAAGTTTATTATTAAATTCGTAAAACTTAAATTTCGGGAATACGATATCTCATGGATGCCAACCTGACAGTCTAAGACCTGAATATCTGACAGTCGTATTTTCTAGTGAATTTCGATAGGGAGCGATGCGATCGCGGTTGTAATATCGGCAGCCATCAGGCATCTCGCGTAGTCTATGACCGAAGCGTCATGAAATCGTGGAAGCTTACGATAAAGGCAAATGGCCGCCGTAGTTTACGAGAGCGGGTTACGTGTATGATGTTTTACCGCGAGCAGTTTTTTGACATACGGCGTGTAATAGGCGGGCGGGTTGATCGATCGACGAAAAGCGTGATGTGAACGGGAAACGTGAGGTTGAACGGTGTTCCCGTGGCCGGCAATGGACGGTGAGAATGTCAGTGCGGTGATGAAATCGGTATCGGAGGGTGAGCTGGGCGTGGAAGAGGTTAAATTATCGGAGCCAAAGGCAGAGGAATCTGCCTCGCGTTTGAAGCGTACGTTCACGTTGCCGCGGAATCCGTTTCGGAGTGCCAGCAGGATGTTACGGCGACGTCCGAAACAGAATCGCGATATGAAAGACGGTGGTAGTGCGGCGAGCACCAAAGATAGGAACAATATGCAGCAACTAGAGAGCATGCAACAGAACATGGGCCGACTGCACGGCAGTCAAAGCTATCCGGACAGGCCAGGCGTGAAGAAGGTGTTTCGAAGGCCCTCGTGGAGGAAGTTCATTAACAAGATGGTCCAGCACATGTCCAACGTGGGCACGCAGAACCACAAAACATCGCACAGGGATGATTTCGGGTCCAGTGCCGGAGACATAAGGGTACCACCACCTAGGCCGGCGCATATACCACCTGACAGGGTGCCAGGGGTCATAGGTTTACGCAATCACGGTAACACGTGTTTCATGAACGCTGTATTGCAGTGCCTGTCGCATACGGACATACTCGCGGAATATTTTGTGCTGGACCAGTACAAAGTCGATCTGTCGAGGAGGAACAAATTGAACTCGAAGAAATACGGGACTAAGGGGGAGATCACCGAGCAGTTGGCCCTTTTGTTGAAAGCCATCTGGAGCTGCCAATATGACCCAGAGATGAGCACGGCGTTTAAGAGCGTCGTTGATAAATACGGAAGTCAGTATCGTGGTAACTTGCAGCATGACGCTCAAGAGTTCTTGCTATGGCTGTTAGATAAAGTGCACGAGGACTTGAATCAAGCTACCAAGAAAAAGTATAAGATCATCAAGGTGAGACGGCTAATCAGTTTTTTTTTTTTTTTTAATAAGGTTATGTTTATGTTACGATCGTAACACGTATCTTTATCTCGTTCCATGTAACGAGCAGATTTATAATCGTTCGGTTACATAATAACACCGATACGAATGATCATTAGCCTAATCGTCGTTATCAATTAAGTTCTCAATCCTACGATTTGGCGGAGGGGATTATGAATTTGCGGATGCTCGAACTATTCGCAATTCGAATATTCGATTCTGTTTTTTTCTTTTTTTAAATTTCTTTTCGCGTGCGTTGCGAGAAGGCGTGTTTATGCAAACGTAGGCCTTGAGCATATTTTATTTATTATACTTGGGAAGAAAAAAAATAGAAATGCCAGTCGATCTCACACGGTCGCGATCAGGCCTTAACCTAAATCTGTTTCACGTTCGAAACGTACGTGCCGCGTTTTCTCAACGACCCTCATCGAAATCCGGACGAGAATGGAAAAAGAAAGAGTAACTGAAGACTGAGCATTTACTTATATTGAACCATAAAAGCAGAGAATGACACGATTGTTCTGATTTGTATAAATTTTATTTTTTTATTAATATTATACGTTTTTTTTCTCAAATATTTAATAATGATATCGCTATTAATGAATGTTCGCGTATTAACGACGAGTCATTTGTATGACAATTCATCAGATTTTAATGATTGGTAACTTACGATTACTGTCTGTATCTGATATACCAAATTGATACGACTATATATATGCAATTATCAGAGATAATTAATACGAAAGATATCTGGCAATCAGTTGTCAATGTGTGTCACGGTTTTATTCCTGTGTTTCATATTGCAATTCGAAAATTATCGAAATCTTATCGAGACCATTATCACGATCGAATGTACAGAAAATAAAGAGAACAATCTTTAATCGGAAACGAAATAAAACAGATTTATCGAAGCATAAGCTGGTGGTAATATTTTCGAGCTAAAAATAGTTGGCATTTTAATAAATCGCGAACTTGACTAGTGAGTCGCTTTTTATGCTAATGTATCATGTAGGAAGAGATGGGGATAGTAAAACAGAGATAGGATAAATTTTAGTTCGCTGATTCACCGCAATGAGATACCCGCCAACGATAAGTGACGTAACAAGAAAAAAGTACGCATCACGTAGGCCGATTAATTGTTCTTTTTCGCAAGTTCTTTGTTCGATACTTATTATTTAATGGACATCTATCGATACGTACATGATTGATGACACTTCATTATTATTTTTTTTTTTTTTTTAATCGATCGTTAAATATTTTTCCTTTGTAGTTGCATGCACGAATGCTGCGTCGTTTCTTTGTTAAGCTGGCCCAAAAACGACACATGTGTTTACGATTACATGAACGATGAGATAACAGATGAAGGAAAATGCCTCGTGAATCATCCCGCATTTCAAATAAAAGACAATCAGGATTAATTGGCCATTAGTATTTATTAATGATATGACCGCCCACGTGGAATTCGATCTCTTCGCAAAGAAAAATATCTGTCATTTGTGTTGTTGAATTTTTATGAAAATTCTTTTTTTTCTCAAACAGAACTCTGTTTTTTCGAGTTTTTCTTTTTTTTCCTCGTACCGTAAATTACAAGGCAACGTAAATTTCTTGTTTATCGAACTTTTTAGAAGCAATGTCTGACGAAAGGGTGTAATTATATAAGTGATATTTTTCAAAGCGAGTAGTACAATGTTGAAAACGAAACACACTTGTCGCATAAGAAAGCAACCGGTTGTTCACGACAAAGGAGAAAATGTGAAATTATTCCAGGCGTTTCGCTTCTGAGTATTTATTTTCTTCGCTGGTGAGACTAATAAGCCTGATGGCTAACGATGGTAAAATTTAATCGGTAACCATCTTAATTTCTTTTTTCAATGCATGGTATATACTTTCTATTTTTACGCGTTAAAATTTTATTCCATTTTATGCCTTTTTTTTTCCACTCTACGAAGCTACCAAATTTTAGGGGACGTAAAATCGGAAAAAGTTTTTTTATCGTCTTTTATCGACAGTGGACCGTAAAAATATTCGCTTATCATTGCGATAAAAATTATCTGTTCAGAGTATTTGACACATTTACCACAAGTTGTTGTCAGCTTGACGTATCTCCGATTCTTTTTTACTCTTTCTTCGCTACTTCATTCTCTAGTATTCACTTATCTTATCAGCCGTTTCTCGCACACCACGTCCAAGTGTTTGTTTGGCATCAGATAAGGAAACGATCTTCGGCAGGAACGAGCCGATTATCCAGAATCAGGAACCAACAATGTCCAACATGTCGCTCCTGTGACTTGTTAACTCGCTGTTTGTGCCACTTTTTCGTAACTAGTTTTTTCCTCGAGTGCCCTTCATCGGCCACGTTGACCGACTTCTTCGAAACCGGTCATTGAAACGCCTTGAAAATTCGAAGATGCTCTCCAAAGGTATCAGCGTCTATAGAAAAGTCGGTACAATTGTGATTTCCTTTACCGATACTACTTACCAAAAAAAAAGTGTTACTTTGATAAAATGTACAATGTTTTTGAAAATATTATCCAATTAAAAGGAGGAAATAAATTGGGACGATAGATACATGGAATTTATATATGTCTCTCTGTGTGGAACATAATTTTAAACGAATCGGCACCTTGGAAAGTAGAGACAGATTTGATGCTTCTCAAAATGCATGAAGCCCACTCGAACACGTGCTAAACGACGGTGCATGTATTATTGACCCTGAGATAAGATCGTTAACTCTCGTCGCTTTAAAATTAGAACAACACGATGTTCGCATTGTTATTTATTATGAATGAAAGCATAATAAAAATAATGAGATTTCTCGGTCTTAATTATCATATGGAAAAGTAACACGCACTACTTGAATAATAATTTATCTTTCACAATGGCGATTAGAAAGCTTTCGAATAGTATGCGTAAACCTGACGCATAATAAATAAATTTGTTCTAACTTTATTTATATGTGTACAGCTAAAACATGTCGTTGCATCGTACTTCAATTGATTCATAAGCCTTTCTAAATTTTTTAATTATAATCAATCACGTTTTATCACTTGCCTCGTGCGTCTTCTGTCACAGGCAGATTCCATACATTATCTACAAACATTTTTTTTATCTATTGTCGCCGATTGCTACATATTTCCACGCGACGTCTCGTGAACCAGTTTTTAAGCGTTTCATTCAGAGAACGTTCATGAACAAACGCCACGTGTCTCTTCAGTCGATCATTTCGCGAATCTCGTTACCGATGGATTTATCATCTCTCCTTGTCTCGTTCCTCCGTACTTTTGAACTACGCGTTCGTTCGTGACACGGTTGAATAGAATTTCCAGACGTCCTTTGCCAAGTTTTTTTTTTTTTTTTTTTGCAAATGTATGACAGCGAAAACGTGGATGGATTTCAAAACAGCCGGGAAAATGATAGAAGGTGGCAAATGTTTGAATTCGAAATACCGTGACGGTATCGCATCTTGTGAAAACTTCGACGAGACCTTGGGAGCGTGTGCAATGCGATGCGTGTTTTTATGTCATGAAGAAAGGTCGTCTCGTTCTGACGGATCACAATGGAAATCCAAGGAAAATTAATCGTGTCACAGAGGTAAAATCTAGAATAATTTAGACTGTTGACTGTAATTAAAATTATATTAAAATAGGCACATGAGAATTTCAGTTCCATTACAGTTCAATTTCAATAATCAAATGCGTTGTTCTTTTTTTTTCCCCCTTACGAAACTGATACGACTGAAAAAAAAAAA